GTTTAATAAAGCAATGACTAAAGCTTTAAGATATTTGTCAGAAGCAAACAAATTAAAGGTCCCATGTCATGGCCATTTCTACTGATCATGATTCCATTGTTGAGGTCTACTAGAATATATTTACATTGTTCAATGTTCCAAACTCACATTGGTTTCTCTCACAGCATCTCTGTATAGTCTGTGTATTCACTCTCTGTCCTACACGGCTTGTTGGAGCTCCTGCCCCTAATTCAGATTGAACATGGTAAAAAACTGTAAATTATAGTGTCCGTCCAAAAGATATGTTGTACTTATAGTGAAAACTAACCTTGGATGATGGGTTAGTAGACTAAAAGCTGTAGGAATCTAAAGTACAACATATAATAAGTACCCTGTATCAAGATTGATGCAAAACAAGTGATATTTGACCTTTTTAGACAGATTTAGCAAAAAAACCTCTTCTGGGACCATTTGGGTGCGTTTTCCATATCTCTGGCCCCCCTTCTTCGATTTTGACATGTGACACCTCTTTCTGACCGTTAGAGCCAATAGAATCGAAGGGAAATCGTCCCGCACACACTCATGTTAAAAAAAGGTTGCGTCTTCGCGCATTCAATCTTGCTATGAAAACGGAATTGCAGTTGTATTGCTTATAGATTATCAGAACATTTCAAAGGGGACACAGCCACATTGGATATTAACCTATGGATTAACTACAGCATCGTTGTTATCGTTTTAATGCCATTGAAGACCAGTTTTGACCAGACAAAACCAAGGTAAGCCATGTTAGCGTTGTGGGCTACCTAGCGCCACATGTTTTGATGTACGTTTTTGTTGATAACGTCGCAGGTTTGTATCTTTCAGTGTTGAGGAGTTGTTATCATGGAGTGATGATATCGATACCTATCAATTCTGTGTACTCTCACGACGCTAATCGATGGGTTGGATTTGCAGTTACGATAAGTAATAAGGGTGCTATACTGTGTTTTCTGTGCAACCGCCGTTAGCATTTTTTCGCTCGTGGCTAATTCAGAGGCTCAGCGTTAGCTTTGTGTTTTTTTTTGCAAAAACATAAAATAATGATCAGTTAGCTGAGTTTCTTCCCGTTACATGGATATAAAACATTCATAGTTTATTAAATATTAAGAAGCCCTCAGATGCTGTTTCCTGCAGATGATGCGTTTCTCCGCCCTATGGCCCCCAACAGGTTAATTGATACACGTTTATTCTCTTGGTGTTTCTTGTTTACAGTAAAACTTTATAATTATTAAGAGTAATAATTTAAGTTAGTTAGTTAGTTAGTGGTTCGTTACACTTTATTTAAGGCAGCTTTGGCAACAGGTCATGTATCTGGTGTTTCAGCAGCAGTTTAATTATTGGTTAGTTTTAATTTTACTTCTGATTTAGGCTCTAAACAACATTTAGATTTCTCTATGAAATATAAAGGATAGCGTAAATTAGCATAGGGGCTCGAAACAAGTGGAAACAGCAAGCCTGGTTCTGTCCTTTCAGAAAAAGTGTCAAACTTCTCATCTGATCCTGAATAAATGTGGTGTTTTGGACTCGGTGTGAAGCAGTCTATTGGTTATTTTTAGTGTGCAGCTCCTCTCAGATCCTGCGCTGGACCATTAGCCTCAGAATGACTTCCTGGTGACACTGACAGAGCGGAGAGGAGGTTTTCATCTGATATACAGCCATCACAGCAGTGTAATGATCAACATCACTCACTCTGTCACAGCACACAGACAAAAGAAAGTGAAAAGTTAGAGAGAAGGGGAAGATGTTCGGAGGGGAGAGGGCAGAGGAGGTGATGGTGCAGAAACTTCAAGAGGAAGTGAAGAGGAAGATGAGGTGAAGAGGAGGAAAGAGGGGACGAAATGATCCAGTACTCTGATAACAAGAAGAGTTTTCTGTCTGTGCTGAAACTGGGAAGTTCATTTCTGCAGAGTCCAGGGATTCAAAGTTATTGAGCCAGTTATTGAGCCAGTGTCCATGCCCTAACCCTAACCCTAACCCTAACCCTAACCAACCCTCCAATCGACCAACCGACCGACCAACCAACCAACCAACCAACCAACTAATCAACCAACAAACAATTCAACCAACTACCCGACCGACCGATCAATCAACCAATCGACCGATCAATCAACCAATCAACCAACCAACCAACCAAACAACCAACCAATCAACCAACCAATCAACCGACCAACCGACCGACCGACGACCAACCAACCAACCAACCAACCAACCAACCAACCAACTAATCAACCAACCCTCCAATCAACCAACCAACCGACCAACCAATCAACCAACCCTCCAATCAACCAACCAACCGACCAACCAACCAACCAACCAACCAACTAATCAACCAACAAACAATTCAACCAACTACCCGACCGACCGATCAATCAACCAACCAACCAACCAACCAACCAACCAAACAACCAACCAATCAACCAACCAATCAACCAACCAACCAACCGACCGACCGACGACCAACCAACCAACCAACCAACTAATCAACCAACCCTCCAATCAACCAACCAACCGACCAACCAATCAACCAACCCTCCAATCAACCAACCAACCGACCAACCAATCAACCAACCCTCCAATCAACCAACCAACTAGGGGTGTAACGGTACACGTACCCGTACCGAAATTATTCGGTACGGGCCCTTCGGTTCGGTACAGGTGTGTACCGAAGTGTACCGAACGAATATAACGTCAAACATAAAAAATTGAGAACGTGAACAACTTCTTGGAAGTAATCTCAGGTGCTGCGTCGCAGCATTCAGAGTAATTTGCTCACATTGGGTTCAACGCGTCATAGAGCGAGCAAGTCATTTCATTGGATGAGAGGCATACTATGAGAGCTGGTCAGAGGGATGCGTTCAAATGTAGTCAGTAATTTGAGGAACTGTCAAAATGGCGAACACAGATAAAGTTGAGCTGAAAATCCTCCAGCATCATTGAAGTCTCCGGTTTGGGAACATTTTGGTTTCGTAGTTACGAACAAGGATGACGGACAAAGACAGGTGGACCGAACCAAAGCTGTTTGTCGGCATTGTTCAACTAACATTGGTTACGCGGCTGGCAATACATCAAAGTTGCACACTCATTTGAAAAGGCATCACCCGAACGTGAATATCACCGGTACCAAAAGACTGAAGTGCAAACCCAACTAGCACAGTAAAGTTCAAATACAGATTATTTCAGTTCATCGAAATGCTGCACCTTAATGTTTATTTTATTATATTTTGTATTTATTTGAGTGAATACATTATTCACAGTTTAATAATAATTTAAAAAAAAAATGTTTTGTGATAATTTGTTCTGCTGTACCGAAAACGTACCTAAAAACCGAGGTACGGACCTTTTACTGTATATCTAACCAAACATCCCCAACATGCTTATTTTTGGACAAATGTAATGTTTTCTTCTCCTTGACACACGGCCATTGTTCTATGTTGTAGTCTAATGTGTCAAAAATAAAAATACTGCTGTATATCAAATGTTCCCCCCGGTGGCTCTACAGGTGCACAGATGGAGTTTTCTTTCCTTTTTTTTTGCATCTTTGATTTATTTGCAGCTTACACACATATTCCACCCTACAGAAAAAAGTGAGCTCTCATGCTGCGTCTCCAACAAAGCAGAATAATCAAATCACCCACTGCAGTAGCTCTCCAATACGATTAAGCCAGGTTTGCCATTTGCAGAGACTAATTTAGAATGAGTTGTGATTAGCTGCTTCCACCCTCTCAGGCATTTAAATTAAAGACATTGGAAGCAGGTGGGAATAAGAGGGAGATGCTGCCTCTCCAGTGTTGATGTAACGGACCGTTTACCTGGCTTTTATTGTTCGGGGACAGAAAACGAGAAGAAGCTATTTTTGGGTCCAGGGCTCGACTTGTGCTGCAGTCATTTCACTCGGGGAATTAAAGGCTCCCTCCTCTCGTTCTCCTCTCTGCAGCCTCGGGTGGATTTACTGTTTACTCCAGTTATTTATCACTTCACAGAGGCCTGCAGAGAGCGGCACACCACCAGACTCTCTGCCTTATGCAATTTGATTTCTCTCTGATCCTCCATTAGGGAAAGGTCTGTCTCCTCTCTGTTGATATTATGGATGTTCTGCAGGTTAAATAGGGCGGTTAAAACTCAACACACATTATTTTCTTTTATATTTAATTTTGAACTAGCACCTGTTTCAGATTTGTAAGCATACCTGTCTGTACCAACTGGGAAAGGTCAGAGAATTTAAATGAATGTCTGCATTTATGTATAGTTTGCCAAGACTTGGAAGGACAGGGGTAATGTATGTCTGTGTATGTGATCAATAACGTGTCGATTTGAGTGGACTGTAAACTGAGGCGGGTGTGATTTTGTACATCTCCATGTTTGTTATATATTTGTGGAATAAATAAAAAGTTCTAAAAAACTCAACATACACCTTGTTTTTATTTGGCGTTAGTTGCACACTTGACAGTTCTTGTGTTTATTCAGTCCTGTGTTTAATTGTGTTCTGTTGGTATCAAGTGTTTTTGTTAATGTTACCACCCACGGCAAAGTCTCCCTACACTGAAAAAAAGGGGAAGGTGGGGTTGTTTAATTTGCAAATATGCAGTTAATATGAGACAGAATGTATACATGTTTCTCATCGAAACATCAATCAATCATGTAGAACTCTTTTAATCTTGAGGGGTGTAGTTCTATAAGTCTCAATCATGTTAAGAAATAAGAAACAAGTTATGTTTCTGTAACTCCGCCCACTGAGCACATAGTCAGCAGCTTGCTCTGCAGCTGATTACTCAGCTTCTAATTATTATTTACAAATATTTTATTCACAAATCAAAATGGTCGGACTCAAAACCGTACTTTAATAGTTTCGTAATTGAACCTGAACAATAGGGCACTTTAAGGGACAAGATGTAAAGCAGGAAAAACATCGCAAAATGTCTTTATTTTAACAATGTGAAGCTTTTTTTTTTTTTAAAGGGGGGGTGGGGGAGGGGTTCTACCATCTTTTCTTCCCCTATCGGAGGAGTAAGCTGGTTCTCTCCCGAGAACATCTCTACAAGGTCAAAGTTATTAAAAGTTATTAAATGTCATCAATTGTTCGTCATCGTTACAGGTTATCACAAGACGCATTGTTTGCAAAAAGCAGATCGTTCACATTTGCCATTACAACGAGCAACGTAAATACAGCTGTCAATTTGTAAACATTGTCATTCACTGGTGTTAGCTAGGATAAAGCCATGAACATCATAAGGTGAGTTTATACTGATTGACAGCGTGTTTTTAGTGTGAGTATTTGTAGAGCGTAAGTCCGGCAGCTGCTTGAACCTTGTCCAAAGTTATGCACATTAAACCGAGCTCTGCATGTCTAGGCTACTCTTGTGCCGACTTTTTAGGGCGCTGAGGCAGGTTGTAGGCCTACCTTACGTTAAGCGACCATCTTTACCCATTTAAGGTGTTGATTGTTAAAGATATATTACAATATTGTCTGTGGGACCGCAGTGTTTTCCCAAACAAATTGTGTATAAAATGTTTTGGTGTAAAAAAAAATGATGTAAACCATTTTTTTTGCAAAAGGACTCTGCTTTGATCCGCTCTGTGTTCATGTACATACCGTAAATACAGTGGATCAAAACTGAGACACAATGTTGTGTGTGGGAGTGTGTCCCGGAAAGCGACACTTGTTATTAGTTGTTCCTCGTCATGCACGAGCCGTGCGCGTTGCTGCGGTCCCACAGTTGAAGGCCGTGGCCTGAAAAAAGACATTGGAAGCCAGTGCACGTCTCCATTGATGAAACCAATGGAAATTAGCTCGCAACGCTGATCTGTATGGCTCCGTACAAAGTTGTACTTATTTGTGTGTGAATAATGAAATAATTGCAAATATGTGTTTTCTGTGATAGGTAATTAGTGTGGAGAAGATCGACCTCAGCCTTTCTTTGAACATTGTTCAAAAGGCTCTGTAGTAAATGGTGATTATTCAAATGTTTTGTGTGATTTACTTGACTAATTGAAAACTGGTATTAGTATTTACATACTGCAAACATTGCAGGGATATACACATGTTCTGATTTATTAGGCAACAGTTATTCAGAAAGTGAGATGCAAAAGCCAAACATTCTGCGATAAAGCCTCCTTCACAAAAGGGATCATGTTTTGTTTGTTGAAATGGCTATAAGGGTGTTTCTTATATGTAGTCTTACATTACAATAATACTTATTTTAAGTCGCTTTGGAAAACAACATTTTACTTTTTTTTTTACTTTTTGATATAAAAAGTAATTCTCACTATATCACAACACCATTCAACAGCACCACAGATTCCATCCTCCAAAAAGAGCTTTTGTGAAAAAACCTCTCACAGAGTTTTAACAAAAAGTAAGATCACCTCCATGAAGGAAGGATTTATTGCAGGACTTGTGTATTCGACTGCATTTGATTTTGCTACTGTAGATTAACCTAATAAACTGACAGATGAGTTTGCACATTTAAATATAATATATAGTAACTTGCCTTGCCTTATCTTTCTCTCTACAGTGAATGTGGAAGTGTAAGGGGTGTCCAGTTGCTGTAGCAAGTAGGTCTGCACTACTTACACATTATAAACTTGATCATCCACATTTTGGACGCACCATTCGCTATCCATGTACATATTTGAAATGCCCATGCACATTTAAGACATGGAATGCTTTAATTGTACACCAGAGTAAAGTGCACTCCACACAAGTTAGTCAGACCCAAAAAGAGTTATCTACTTTCAGTTGTCACATATGTAAGTGCAATAATGTATCTAATGAAAGGGAGTACTTTGTTCATATCAACACACATCTGAGAAAAAGTGAAAATGTCCCTTGCATGTTTGTTGGCTGTAGTTTTCAAACTAGTATTTATGGAACATTTAAGTCCCATAAGAGTCGTCGACACACACCTCACACCTTAACTGATTTTGCACCTGGTATTGTACTACATTAGCATCATCATCATCATCCTCATTACATGATTCTTTTGATCATTGTCAGGACGAGGAAGAGGACATTTCTGTGACATCCTTAGATCATAAAAGCCAGGACAACGCACTCCCAAGAATTGTTGAGCAGCAGCTTGCAGCAGCGTTGTTGAAGTTGGAGTATTTACTGCATGTGCAAGGTACAGCAATTGATGCATTTCTGCAAGAACTCTACTACTTACTAAGCTCAGCATCAGTCCCACTTTCCAGAGGTTTAGTAAGTGAGATCCTTGAGCGTCATAACGTCCAAGTGGATGACTCTGTAGTGACTGAAATCGCCACAGCAGTTTGTTCATCTAACCCAGTTCATAAAGCAATTGAAAAAGGTGGCCCACTTAGCACTTCGTATCAACGTAAACAATTTTACAAAAAGAAATTCAATGTTGTGGAACCAATCACCTACATACTTGATCGTAAAAACAAACACACTTTTCAGTATGTCCCATTGTTAAAATCCTTGCAGCAAATATTGAATTGCAAAGTAATTTCTTGAAAAGACTCTTGAAAGTCATTGTGGGCAGCGGGACATAGAAATTGACCCATCGTTTGAATTCAGGTCCCCCGAAAATGGTTTGCATTTTAAAGAGAACAGCTTTTTGAATGCTGAGGAATTACGTATATCACTGCGTCTGTATGTGGATGATTTTGAAACTTGCAATCCCTTAGGCACCTCTCGAAAGAAACACAAGCTTTTTGGTGTTTACTGGGTATTAGGTAACCTTCCACCTGGCTCTCACTCATCTTTATCATCAATTTTTCTTGCATTACTTTGCAAAAGTGTTGATGTAAAAACATATGGTTTTCACAAAGTATTAGAACCTTTTCTGCAAGATCTTAAAACTCTGGAGGACCATGGTGTGTATGTCCCTTTGTTAGGCAAGTCTCTTAGAGGTACAGTGCAGTGTCATTGCAGATAACTTAGGGGCGCACAGTATTGCAGGCTTCACTGAAAGTTTTTCAGGTGACTTCTTCTGTTGGTTTTGCACTGCAAAAAGTTGTGATACTAGATCTGACTGTGTTGCATCTGGTGCTTTTAGCTTGAGAACTAAAGGTTTATGCAGCTCATTTAAAAACTGCTCTTGAGAATAATGCGCATTGCTTTGGAGTTAAAAGAGAGTGTGTTCTAACCAAAAATCTGTCTCATTTTCATGTTGTCACTGGTTTTCCCCCGGACATTGCTCATGATTTATTTGAGGGTATTGTCCTGGTCGAGCTGGCCTACTGCTTGTCATTGATGACATCAAATAAGTTATTTACACTAGAGGGCTTGAATAAAGCTATATTGGCTTTTCCCTATAAATGGTCAGACAAAAGAAATAAACCACATGTTGTACCACAGAGTCTTTCGGGTCGTAAAACTATTGGAGGTAATGCCCATGAAAATTGGAGTCTACTGAGGTTTCTCCCATTTTTAATTGGACACCTAGTACCAGAAAATGAGCCGGCATGGCACATATTAATGGAATTAAAAGATATTGTTGAGCTAGTTGTTGCTCCCGTGCATACAGATGAATCAATATCGTACCTCGAAAGCAAAATAGTTGAGCATAGACAGAGGTACGAAGAGCTATTTCCCGGTGTCAGACTTCTACCCAAGCACCACTATCTCGAGCACTACCCTCAGATGATAAGGTATGTTGGCCCTCTAGTCACATTCTGGACAATGCGATTTGAAGCCAAACATAGTTTCTTCAAGACGATTGTAAAGCATACAAGTTGCTTTAAGAATATACCTCTCACTTTGGCTTCAAAACATCAATTTATGATTGCTTTCCAACTAAACTCACCATCCTATGGTCAATTTAGCCTTGATGTATCAAATGTATCCACAGTAGCAGTTGATGTACTTAAAGAGGAAGTGGTTCAAGCTGTTAGGTCAAAACACCCCAACACGTCTGAAGTGCATCTTGCCAATAATGCATCAAGTGGTGGCATAGCCTACAGCAAAGGTATGATAGTGGCACATGGATCAGTTAGTGGAATGCCAGAGTTTGCTGAAATCATTCATATGTTTGTTAGAAATGAGGAGTTGTGAAAGTGCTGTGTGGGTGGTACAGTGCACACTACAGAGCCTTTGAACTAAGTTTGTCACCGTCAAGAGAGATCAAAGTTGTGGCACTCAGTGAACTCACTGACCCCTATCCTCTAGCTGATTATATGGTTGGATCAAGTCGCATGGTGACTTTAAAAAGGCATATCCTCATAAAGGTTAGTAGATCTCGGACACTGTGCATGCTGAATTCCATT